AGGGACCTTAAAGATCATCTCGTTCCAATCTCCCTGCCGTGGCCAGGGACACCTTCCATTTGACCAGGTTGCTCGAAGACCCATCCAGCCTGGCCTTGAACACTTCCAGGGTTAATAGAATTATAAATGTTGGAAAATATCTTCAAGCTCATTGAATTCAATCTTTGACCAAACACCACCTTATCAACTAAAGTTGGCCCTAGGTGCCATGTCCAGTCGTTTGTTGAACACGTCCAAAAATGGTGACTCCACCACTTCCCCAGTTGGTCTTTTCCAATGCTTGCCAGCCCTTTCAGTGAAGCAGTTCTTCCTGATGTCCAACTTGAACTTCCCCTGGCACAGCTTGAGGCCATTTCCTCTTGTCCTGTTGCTGGTTGCCTGGGAGAAGAGACCAGCCTCCCCCTACCTACAACCTCCTTTCAGGTAGGTGCAGAGAGTGATGAGGTCTCCCCTGAGCCTCCTTTTCTCCAGACTAAACACTCCCATCTCCTTCAGCCTCTCCTCACAGGACTTATTCTCCAGACCCTTCACCAGCTCCTTGGTCCTGCTGGCCACATTGTTTCTGATCCAGGCTAGGTTGCCATTGACATTCTTGGCCACCTGGGCACACTGCTGGCTTATGTCCAGCTGGGTGTCAACCAGCACCCTCAGGTCCTTTTCCACTGGGCAGCTTTCCAGCCACTGTTCCCCAAGCCTGCAGGTACTGCATGGGGAGGTTGTGAAATGGGAGTGAATAATAAGTAAGTAAAGGTGAATAGAGTAAAACTGCCTGACCCTATTTGAATTCTGTAAGTAGATGGAAAAGGGTATCTAAAGTCTATTGCTCTTAAAAAAAATTCTGATCAGGAAACTCAGAAGTGACTAAAATGATTTACTTTAATTTATTCTAATTTGTATAAAATTTTATATAAAAATTCTGAGTAACAGTTTGAACCTGCTCTAATGGATTTAAATATTTTAGATTCATTTAAATCATGCTTACTATGCCATAAAATGATTTTCATCTGCTTAGCAAAATACATTTCTCTGAGTCACCTGCCATTCTCTGCCAAATGTCACATCTTTTCATCAAAACATGCTAATACAAGAATGGGGTAGTGAAGAAAAGAACCAGAATTTTATTACATGAGGAGAACAATAAGTTTTTCCCTATCTGCATTCTGAAAAACAGCTAAAATGAGTTGGCTAAAACATTCCAGGAAATTTAAACTGGAATCAGATGCTCAGCAACTGAAACCACTGTAGTTTGTTAAAGTGGGAGATGTTGTGGAACCTGAGTACAAACTCATGTTGTGAGTTATTTTTATATATTTTGGAATTATGCTGTTTGTTGAGTATACTGAATGTTTTGAAACAGGAACCGACACCACTGCAGTGGAAGAATGTTTTATTTACAATGGGGAAGAAAACAAACTCTTAAATTTCATGCTGTAGAGAACACTGAGCAAGTGCACTCACACCTTTACACGTTGAAGTGATGCAAATAGGAAAACTGTAATGTGTTATAAATCTCTGAATCAAGAGAGAGGTTTTTTTAGTTGTTGGAAACTTTAGCAAAATAGATTAACTGTTTTGGTTTCATCGAATTATCTCTCACTTGACGACTAAGTCTCCATACTTTATAAACTGGGATATCCTTTCTAAGGACCCTAATGGACATGAAGCATAAGAAGTGGATGAAATCAATGTGCGTTGTTTGAAAGGGCCTAAATGGTGAAGTAATGGTGATTGCATGGTATTTGATAAAAAGTTGAGCAATAAATGCCCGATGTTATTAATCTGTATTATTAATCTATTGAATTTCTTTTGTCTGTGTTAGAGAGAGAGAGAGAGAGACAGAAAGAAAGGCAGACATGAGGATAATGGTTGAGTCTTTTCACTGAGAGATTCAGCTTTAAAATTCATTATTTGGTCTCATTGTCCTTAATGAGTCTTGGTTAAAAAACACTGCAAAACAAAGTAAAAGTCCATCCAAACAAAAAAGAAATCATATTTTTGAAGGAAAAGTGGAAAGAAAGGCAATAGGATTAAATTCTACCTGCATCCTGAACAGTCTGAACAGATATAAAACCAGAGAGGACAGTTGTCTGTAACGTGCCATTGAATGCTTGCTTGCAAGTTACTCATCTCTGGCCGCCAAAGGATTTATACAGAGAAATTCAGTGATATCTAATTAGGTGAATTACAGTGCAGGAAACTTCACCGTGAGGTGAGTGAAAATTTTTTGAAAGGCATTAAAGCAGTTTGCTATTTTCACACAGTTACTCTGCCAGCCTTAATATGCAAAACTGCCACTGAATTCCAGATGGCAAGATATTGCCACACAAGCTGGCTGTGCTGCATAAAGATGGTTTCACCCTGTTTGCAAATAGGCAGAATTAAAGTTGACCATTCAGCCTGAACTACTAGGATTTCCTGCATGAATGCTTGGTTTCTGAAGCTTAACACTGCACTACAGTACTGCGTCACTTTAGTATAACATTTATTTGATGGGTATGAATGTCCAATAATACATATAAAAATAGTTATGTTAACAATAAAGTAAATTTAGGAAGAATAAATTCGTTAAGCATATGCATATTCAGAGTGTTCAATATACACTCAATAAATATGCAAGTTATATAATTTGTATTACTGAATAGCCTTCTAAAACAACTACATGAGACTGTAATAAAAATTTGGTACAATTCAAGCTGTTTCTGTGTGAATATAACAAAGCAGACATTTTAGAAATATCCTATTGCATTTTGATTATCACAGTCTAGTTTACAGTACAATATGAGCTTTTTAGCCTGTGAAATCAATTAATAACCACATTAAACTTTTCCATACTGTGTGAATTGTCAGGTTTAAATGATTCTTTCTTTAAAACAATTATCTGTCTCTTGCTTCATGCAGTTTGTTAAACTGCTACGTCAATTTACAAAGACTGGGTGCGTTTGACACAGAAATTTTAGAGGGGAAGGAACTAATCATTGGTTTACCTAGCATGAGTGCTCAAGTGCGCATGAAGAAAATGAACATTGATTCAAAATATAAATGAAGAATTCTGTTCATGAGTGGAATTGCCCAAGTTTAACTTGAAAACCCTTTGCTTCTCAAATTCTAAGGAAAGTAAAATCTGTTGGTAAACTTGTTAGATAGCTTAAATATGATATTTATTAAGACAAATGACAATGTATGTATTTTAGAGGACTAGTTATTATGGAACAGAGTTCTGCATTGAAATAGGTAGGGAACAGTGTGGTTTTGTTAGTTTTTGAGATGCCTTGGAGTGTTTGTGATATGAATGAGAATCCCCATGCAATGCACTCTTGAATCCTTTTGCCTGCTACAAAGATATACTCCTTGAGTTAAACATTTTACCTCTAATGCCTAAACTAAAAAGAAGATGTAACTGTGTGCTCTTCCATGCTTCTAATCTTCAGTAGCCTGTAATGCTGTAAGTCTATTCTTTTTCTTTTCGTAGGTTATACATTCATTCCTTCCCCTACAACATATATAAATGCAGAGGACAGTGAAGTCTAGCTTGGGGAATGTAGAATATTTCTGCCTTAGACTTTTACCTGTATACCTGAGCAAAGAACTGATTTAATGTAAATCTGAGAAACTGTGTGACATTACAACTAGGTTAGCAGCCCATTGTGTTGGGTTCTGTAGAAATGAACAATAGTGGTCAGAGTCTGTTCCAAAGTACTTTTAATAGTCAGGACAGATGGGGGCAAATCATCACCATTCTACAGGTGAGTGAATAACTGGAGCAAAGGGAGAATGGTCTAACTTTATAGTTTTTGGAAACCCAGTTAAAAAGTGGAACCATCTGAAATAGATAAGAAACTAAAATAAAGTAAGTCCTATAAAAATTATCTAAGAAAAGGCATCTAAAGCATGGGTTACCTTTGAAAATACAACACTGAAGACTAAGGGTGGTTCCTAAAAGACATTTCAAACCCACCTAAGGTTTATTACCTACCACCTCTAGACAACCAGGCTATAAGTGATTTATTCAGGATCATGCTGGTTGTCTCTTGAAGAAGCAGAGCCCCTTCACTAGCATTATAATCCATTGCATTATTTGCAGAAGTACTTTTCTACTAGTAAGAATGATTTGTTTGCAGGGAATGTTTTTGGCATTGGAGAGATTCTCTGCCATCTGGCTGACTTTGTATTCCTATTCCGTTACTGGTAGTCTGGTTACATCTTTTCTGTAAAATTTACTGTAGTGAAAGATCTGACTTCAGACATTTTTAAGACAAAAAGACCCATAGAAGGACCAAACCCTGCAAATATAACACCCCTCACAAATGCACACATGATGTCATTTGGAAACCTCTATAATGTTATGAAGCAGTCTGGCCTCACCTTGAATATTGTGTGCAGTTTTGTTCACCACATATAAGAAAGACACTGAGTTATTTGAGAGTGTCCAAAAGAGGGTAACGAAGATGGTAAAGGGCCTTGAGGGGGAGCCATATGAGGAGGAGTTGAGGGCACTTGACCTGTTCAGCCTGGAGAAGAGGAGACTGAGGGGAGACCTCATTGCAGTTACAACTTCCTTGTGAAAGGAAGAGGAGGGGCAGGCACTGATCTCTTCTCTGTGATGACCAGTGACGAGACCTGAGGGAATGGCCTGAAGCTGTGTCAGGAGGGGTTTGGGTTAGATACTAGAAAAAGGTTTTTCACCCAGAGGGTGGTTGGGCACTGAACAGGCTCCCCAGGGCAGTGGTCACAGCACTATGCTGCCAGAGTTCAAGAAGCGTTTGGACGATACTCTCAGGCACCTGGTGTGACTCTTGGGGATGGTCTAGTGCAGGGCCAGGAGTTGGACTCAGTGATCCTTGTGGGTCCCTTCCAACTCAGCATATTCTGTGATTCTGTAATTCTATGAGTAATACATCAGATATGTGACAGTACTAGCAGAAGCTCCCATCATGTTATTCATAATAAAATTTAAGGAGGGAATGTAAAGTATGTAACCTGTTGAATGTATTGCTTTTCAGGTATTCAAAGCTATGAATATTCCTCAGATCAGAAACCCTTCCTTACCTCCTCTAGAAGATATGCCTGAAGCATATCAGGTGAAGATAGCTCTTCTTGGTGCAGGACCTGCAAGTTTAAGTTGTGCTTCCTTTTTGGCTCGACTGGGCTATTCAAACATCACCATATTTGAAAAGCAGGAGTACATTGGTGGTTTAAGGTAAAAAAACAATGACAACAAAGCACCATTTTCAATTATTATAGAAAGCATAGCAAAAAATATTGTGCATACGTAGTTTATGTGTGATCTCTCTACCAAAGGAAAAGAGTAGAAAATTTCAAATTTTGGAAAACTTATTTTTTATTTAAATAATTATTAAAAGAGGTACAGTTATAGGTAAGCTTTAACTGAAAGTCTAGTGGCTATCTCCTATATTCTGTTCATGTGACCTGTTAAATTCCAGTGTGCAATTGTTATTAACAAATTAACACTTTAGAAAATTACGTCAGGAACCATTTTTCACTTATCCAAAACAGTTAAAACAAGATGAAGTACTTGTAGTCCTAGTGAAAGAATGTTTAAAATGCTTTAGACAGATATTAATTTCATGGAGAGTTTTAGATTTAGAATGCTTTTGTGGACTACCCTATGCAAATAAAGGTGAAAGTGAATAAATCCATCATGTATGTCTGAACTTGCAACTTTAGTAGACCACACCATATGATTGAAACGAACCCCCTGCAATTCTCAATCTTCAAGAAGTTTCAGATACATAAAATACCTTTGTAGTTTGCCTATATGGTAAACACTTGGCTGATGTTTGCAAGGTGTCATGTCCTCTACAGTAGAAGATGAATTTTTACCACTGCAACAATGGCTGAGATCATATCTTGTAGGTTTGTTGGAATCCCTGTGTATAAAATAATTCAGGCACTGGCTGATGGATACCAACCCATTCAAAATCAAAATGAAATTTTAAAATGTAAGATATACAAGAGTACAAAATGGACTCACACAAAAGTGTTTAAAAAATGAAAAATATAAGAGAAAGAAGGGTGATGCACTTAAATTTTTCAATGCAGCATCACTGAAATCAATAGAGTTGACACGGTTAATGAATTTGATCCATAATGTCATAATGTCAAATACTTATTCAGTGCTCTGGAAGATAGAGAATCAATGCTGGAGAAGTTGAACTGATTACTTGCATTTTTCCCAGTGAGGTTCAGAATTATTCTACCTAATTACCAAGGTGTTAATATGTAGGCATTTAACTGTGGAGCTGTTTAACTTGAACTAGTTGCCACAGAGGATTGCAAATTTAGTGTATGAAATACCTCTTCACCTGCTGAGTCGCACGTTTTCATAAATACCAGATTAAAGTTAGTTTTGTTGTTGTAAAGTAGTCAGAATTAATGAGACATTTCTAGCAATGAGACCTTACTTGGTAACAGGTTAGACTCAAGTGGGATTTGGTGATACAATACAGTACTTTCTGCAGTTGTTTCGGTGCTTATAGAAAAATGCTACAGTTGCTTAATGTGTGCTTCTGTATTTGAAGCAATGTGATCTTGAGTTCATCATGTTTTAAGTTGAATTTAAAATAAAGTTTAGTCTGTTGTTTGTTCTACTGCAAAAAGCCTTACACTGAGCTTTGTCTGTTCTGTTAGTATCCTTAATTACTGAGGAGTGCATTTAAAAACTTATTTCTTTCTTTTGAGTCCTAATGAACACATAGCAATCAAGGTCAAATTTTACTTCCATTCACTGAAGAAGTTTTCACATCTGATTTAAGGGCATCAATTCTTTTTGTCCTTATTTTAATCTTGAAACAGAATGGAGGCTGGCCTGTGGCAGAAGTCATCCATTATTGCATTCGTAACTCTATGCAGTACCTCTTTTAACAAGTTTAGGTTATTGATGGGTGTGTTTTTAAGGCTTCATAAACTTATTGCAAATATCTAAGAAAACTAAATCAATTTTGTATTTTGAATCAACTGTTTGAAAGGGCAGTGCTTTTGCCTTTTTTTAGTTTCTTCAGTTGTTTTTAAATAGGATGTTCCTTGCATCTTAGCTAGCTTTCATAATATTGTGACAATAGAAAAATGTCTAGTGATGGCAGTTCTTGTAGTGAGATATTTAAATGTAGTATGACTCCATGGTTCTCCAAGCATGTATGAATTTTTCACATTTAAGGGCAGGTTTTCCTATGTTTCACCAGTTGTGTAAAATTTATGCTTTATGATAGAGTAGGTACAAGCACATCATGCTCTTGCTTAGAGGCCATGAACAGGCTTCACTGCATGTGTTCCTATCTATGGCACTGTTTTACAACATGCCAGAGTACTTCTCTCACTTGGCCAAAGAGCTGTTCCTTGAGCAAAAGTAATTTGAGAACACTGAGCAACACCAAGCACCTGTCCAAGCAGCTCTAACTTGGATCAGATTTGAGGAAGAGATGACTTTGCGGGACACTGTTCCCATCCACTGCATCCCTCCTGCACCTCTGCCCTGTTTCCTTTTCCCCCCATTTCTCCAGTGGGGAGTCAGAGACCATCTTCTGCTGCTGAAAGAAATTATATTAGAATTATTTATGCAATAGTTGACTTTCATAAAATGCTTACTTTCATGGTTAATGTGCATGCAAGTGCCCCCCCAGAACTCTGTGTATTTAGATACATACATGTATGTGAATATATTCACAGCACAAAACTGTAAGTAAATGTTTAATAAGAGCAAAAAGTTGCTTACAAATTCTGACAGTGACATAACACAATCAGTTCTGTTCTGGGAGCATGTCGTGGAAATGACAGGCCTTCAACAAATATATAGGTGACTTGGAAAATAAAACTTTCCTTTTTTTGATTAATTTCCTTATTGAATCACTGTTGCAGAATCATATTGATATATTAGTTTCTGCCTCAGACACTTTTTTACTTAGCATGACCTATGAAAGTTGTATTGTCTTGACATGTTCATTGTATGTGACATTTACAACACTTTTCATTGCACAGTGGTCAAGAAAGGTGTAAAAAGGGCAGTATTAGAAATGATAAGGAGGAAAACCAGTTTCTTATCAATATAATTAAAGTTGATGCAACTTAAAATAAATAAAACCCTTCTGGCCTGTCAAAGTTAGATGTTAAAGATGGTGTGGTCAATAACAATATGCAAACTGAAGCTGCAGTGAATCTCTTGTGCCAGTGCTTTGTTATGGAAATTACAGATTCATTAATTCGAAAACAGATTAGACTGTTTGAAGCTTAGAAGTATCTGGGGAGTGACTTTCACTTTTCTGCATATTTAGGTTTTATCTTCATTGAACCGAAGTATCTAAAATAGAGCTTCAATGTGTTTACCTGTAACATGGTTTACAGTAGAGATTTTGAACTAGGATACGTAGATATCATTTCATTGGAGATAAATTTATATATTTTTATATCTGTACCAGCAGATAAAAACTGAGATTCTATACTGGAAGAAAACACTGCAGTCTTCCCATTCTGTGGTTCTGGGAACTTGAAGATGTCATTCCTTATCTTCCCCAGGAGGAAAAAATGCCAGTTAATGAACATTAAGTCAAAAAGCAGACATGAAACCAACAGCTGATAGAATATTTGTCCATCCTGAAAGATCATAAAAAATTTATGAAGTAGAAATGGAGGCGGGTACAGTTTTAAATACCATTGCTCAAAATAGCATATGTAATGCTTTTAAAAAATTATATGGGAAATCTGATTCTCTCTTATTGAATAGCTTAGTGAAAGATTGCTAGAAGGTCATTTTACTTTGCATGAAATCTTTTCTTAAATGGATGTCTTTAGTGTTACATATTCTGGTGAACAAAAGGAATGGAGCCAAAGCTCTTTAGAACTCAAGCTTAACATATGTTGAATGGTTACCTACAAGTGTAGGCAGCGTTGGCCTCAAGGTACTGCCTTCCTGGCCTGTATTTTTAGCATTGGATGAATAATGCTGTTTTGTCATTCTAACAACTAAAAAAAGTCAGCAGTCAACCTTCAGCACATTTCTATTCATGTATGTCAAAATTAAATAAGGTATGCTATAAGTATAGAATTTTTAACAAATAAAAAAATCCTTTCTTCCTAATAGTTAAAATTATTTCAAAAACGTTTTTATTTCTTTTAGTATGTCTGAAATCCCCCAGTTCCGATTGCCGTATGATGTAGTGAATTTTGAAGCCGAGCTTATGAAGGATCTTGGAGTGAAGGTAATGAAAAATATATCCTGCCTATGTATAGCTCAAAGAAAAAAAGAACCAGAACTCTGCCAAAGATTAACAGCAAAATGTCATGCACATTAGTAAAGAACGATTAAAAGCTATGCTAGACAGAGGCAGGAAGATGCTTCCTCTTGCTCAGGGCATTTGTCTGTCTCCTGTCTGAATGCCACTAGTTTGGAAAAGGGCAATCAATAGTTCTCATCTGGCATGCCTGCATGTGATTAATTGTCTGTAAGAAACAAATTCCTAAATTGCTTTAGGGGTTCAATGTAGCTATTGGAATGATTTGATTTTTTTTTAATCAAGTTTTTTTCGTGCAAGTTTGGCACTACTTAAAACTCTCATATTTGATACGTCTTTTTTTCCCTCTCCCTGAGTTTTTTTTCTCAATGGTTTATCATGCAGTTTTGCATCCAAGTTAATTTTATAATAAAATACATCAAATTAAATGAAGTATTAACATGATCATCTGTTATAAACAATAACAGTCATTGAACTTCTTGGAAAGCAATAGTTATGTATTATTCTGTTAAATAAATGTGTGTTGTTTATAGATAATGGGAGCATTGCTTCATTGTTAATTTAGGAGTTGAGCTGAAGATTTAGATAGTATTTACAATTGCTGCACATTTTAATAGAAGTTACAAACTTAGAATACATCACTGGATGAAATTTTTGAGTACCAGGAGGGATACTGTATTTTTAACATGATACTAAAGCATTCAGTGAAGCAAGAAATTCTTATTGGAATCTTTCATATTGGTTCATATTGTAAAAGCAGTAGACTGTTGTCACAAGACCTGAGTGAGAACCTCATCCTTCCCAGGTTTTACAGAAATGCTGGTAAGATGTAAGACAAGGCTTTAAATGCTACAGGTCTTTTTTGTACTCTCAAATTCCCTTTACAACCCTGGAAAAGACTGACGGAATGGAGGTTCAGTTAGGGATGGGACTAAAACAGAGCATGGAGACAATTTTAGATGGTTCCTGGGAATTATCTGCCAACCACAGTTCCCCAGGGCTCCCTGTTATGACAAGGTCTTCAGAATGGACTGATAGAACCACCATGTCATCTTGACCTGCAAGTCTTGTGCAGTTTTGGAGTGCAGCAGAGAATCTCAATGTAAATTTGCTTCCAAGCTCTGCCATTGGTTTTCAATTGACCCTTTGGCAAGCTAGTTAAATAAGTACCTTAGCTTTATAGCTCTATAAGCTGGAAATATTTTCTAGTGTTTACTTAAAGCATTTCAAATTTGTGGTGGAAGGTGCTGTATTGTGTAAATGCTCAGTAGTGGTGTTTATTCAAGTAATTCTGCTGAAATTAGTAAGAATTAGTCAACTGAATAAGGATTACAGAGCTAGGCCCTAGGAGTATTATGAATCCCCACATACAATAATATTGCCATTTAAATTCCTTCATTATGTTTTCATAACATATGTACACAATAGGATAAAAAAATATAATGACAATTTATGGAATATCTCTTGTTGTGAGTGAGGATGAAATCTATTGTTTAAAGGATTGCAATAGTACGTGGCTTTTTGCACCTCTGATAAAATTTATACTAAATCTCCAAAGACAAAAAAGTCAGTGTCTTAAGTAATGTTAGTTGTATTTTACTTCTACTTTTTTTTTCCACCAATAGGAAAAGTATATTAAATGGAATATAGGCAGACTGAATAACAAACAAGATACATAGTGACAGGAAGGCTAAACTGTTAAGATCACAAAGTATAGACTTTACACAGCAGCGCAGCGCATTCTGTAAAATAAAATCACAAGTGATGTAAAAAACCTGGGGGAAAATATTCAAGTTCAGGGAGCCTAAAATACGGAGATAAAAACACACATGCCCATGTCAAGGAGTACAAAATATCAGGAGAGGCATCACACACTATGTGCTCAAAGGCCTTGGGGTTAGGAGCGATGAGCAAAAGGTGTGTGTATCTCCAATTGCATGACCTGTACATGCGACCTGCCATACTTGGTTGGCTGAACACACAGAAAACACTATTTTTAGTCTCACTCTTAAAACTACTGTAGTTGCTCAGCCTGTGCAGAGGCTGCTCAAAGTAAAATTGCTGGTGGAACGTTGCTCTAGAAAAATTTTTCAGCTTTTGCTTCTGGAAGTAAAAAGTCACTGAACAGAAACAAGTATAGATGATTATAGGTGCACTTTTGTTGCTGTGACTTATTCCTTTCAATAAATGAACACTAATCCCTGCACACTGAGCATTGTTGCTTGTCTAAATTAGAATTAACAATTTTAAGTTTAAAACAAAACTTATTAATAATTTTGAAAACCTTTGTTAGTTTACCATGCAAAACGTGCTGCTTCATTATGGTCGAGTAGGGCACGCTGTAATTTGCAAAGAGCATTCTTCAGGCTTACTGTCATCTCTGGCCCTGTCAGGTTTTCTGAATCCACAAAAGCACCATTGGCTTCACTGAGGATTTTTTGGCATAAAGGTGTTCTAGCTAGTTGTCTCAGTGCAAAATTTGGGCTGTGAGCTTTGAGAGTGCAGCATAAAGCAGTACCATCCTTCCTTGGGGACTGGCATTGCATTCTACACTATTAGAGGCCTACCAAGTGCCTGATACTCTGTGGAAAAACATTGCTTGGTTTTCTCTTCAGAACCCTTGTTAATACAGAAGAGTGTCATGTCATACTTTAACTAATGTCTGTGCAATAACCTAAACTGGTTGGGTTTTGGTTGGTGTTCCAGTTCATCTGTTCAGGACATATTCCCTAGAGGAGGTTCTTGCTTCCACATCATTTTTCTTAAATTCTGATTTTCAAATGGATATACAACCTTTTGTAATCAGCACTAAATACAGATATTTAGTTGCAGGAGAAAACTTATGATTTTCAGCTCTACTTCCGTATTTTGTTCCATAGACAGGCGTTTTTTGTTTGTTTAGCTTACTTTAAACCTTTTAGCTTAAAGGAGAAACCAAGCTAGCCTCTGATGGCCCCTATCTGAGGATAATCTGAAGGTACCTTTTACCTGTATGTAGTTTGGGCCTCTTGCTTTAAATCAGAGCCTGTCTGACCTTTTAAGCCTGGCTTGAGGGGGGAAAAATTTTAATTTACTTTGTTTGCTCGCTAGAAGATCCTGCAAGGTGTCTATATGCAGGACACAATAGAAATTATTTTCACATTATCACATTAAAAGCAAGCAATTTTTAATTCTTTCAGATAATTTTTAATAGAGGCCTTGCAGTGAATGGAATGACACTCTCTACCTTGAAAGAAGATGGGTATGAAGCAGTCTTTATTGGAATAGGTAAGAGCTCACTGTCCCGTGTTTTGTCATCTTGAAATTGAATGACTGCCTGAGAATAAACTGGGACTTGTACCTGTCTTAATAGCATGATGGGAGATAGCTTCAATTTGATGCATTATGAAAGTATGGAATAGAAGGAAAATGTAAAAAAACCAGGAAGCTAAAGCTAGTGGCCTTAAGACAGTTATTAAAATTATCACATTTATATTATAGATTTTTAAGTAAAATGTGAATGTAGCTGAATGGGTTGATATATTTTTTGTTTAAATAGTTAAAAATGGATGAACTAAAAATTTGCTTGTAATTAATTGTCATATTGGCCTAGAGCGATACACAAGTTCAGTTTTCAATTTTTGTGAACAGCTTACTACACCCACATAATTACTGAGTCTATATGTAAGCCAGTGATACCATGCTTGGTTGCTTTTTTCTTTCGTCCATATAAAACATGTAACATCCTTCTGATAGGCTGTAGTGAAATGTACTTGTGGGGTGGGTTAGCAAAATAAGCTGACTTTGACTTATACTAAAACTGGCATCATAGGTCTATCTTCTCTCATATGCTAGAGAAGTCCTGCACCTGCCTGCTATTTGAATCATTGCTCCTTTTTAATGTTAGATTAGAATTGTTATCCATTTACAAGTATTTTGAAGTACAGCTGGACCCATTGCTGCCATATGATAGGCATGTTGAGCAGGTATTGTCTGCAGTTGGTATGAGGCTTAATGCTCTTTATTGATCTAGACGTTGCCTAAGTGAACATAATAGGAAACAAGTTGTCCAACTGTTCCTCCTTCCTATTATTGATTACAGAGATGTAATTCTTAGTACAACGACAACTGTTGTTTACCATCTGGTTATGCAGTATAATAAGCTTTGCAGGTCTATTCTGTCGTGTAATGATAGTACAGGGTGCTGTGATTTATATAATCCTAAATCCCTACATTGTGAGAGAACTCCCATGTATAGGAATTCTGATGTGTCATATTTTGATGTAATTGTATGCAAGGCAAATGGTCAAACTTACATTCTTTATTGTTTTCATCTATGTCTTTCAAACTGCATTGTGAAATCTCACCAATGAGGAATTAATTCATAACCATTTGTCTTCTGAGAGTCTAGTATTTAGGAAAAAATCAGTCATATTTTGAACATTAGCATCATTCCTCTGCATTTCTCACTCAGAAGCTTAAATAACAGTTCAGAGGTTAGCAGAAATGACCACTGAGCACTACACATAGGATTGGAATGTTTGGTTTATGTATGTGGGTTTATTTTCTGACCTTAATAAAGTTATCCTAATATAAAATATTTTTGGCTAGAAATATAAATATAAATAGACAACATTGTGCCATACAGATGCTAGGGAAAGGGACACAGCCAGAAATTTAATAAACAAGAGTAGGCATCTGAAGCATAATTCTCCTGTAAATCATGTGTTCATTGATTATACTAGGAAACAGAGGGTATAAATGCTAATGAAGGATTATGTATACCTACAAAGTTTTGTTATTGGAAGCTACCTTGCATTTATGATGAAGTCGGTCCCTCTCTGTACCCCCATGTCTGCCTGTCATCTCACTTTTACAGTACTGTGTAAGACACTGGACAGTAACATGGCCTTGCATACTGGTATTAAGAGGTTCAGGATGTGCCAAGGGGTTACATATTTGTAGAGTTAGCTGTATTAATGCAATAGAACATTTATAAGCTCTCAGCAACAGCCGTTTTTCCATAATGACTCTGTACTGCATTTCTTTTTGTGTTCTTTGCCTACTGAACAAACATATTCAATGAAATGTCACATTTGAACATTACCCTGAATCATAGGGGTAAAATAATTAGAGAGCTACTTATATAAAATATATTTTTTTTAATTGTAATTTACTTCTGAATGGCTTTGTACCTTGATGGAAAATAAATATGGTAGTTTTCAATTTTCCCTGTTAGTGGAAAAAAGGAAAAGTAAATGAGTGTGTAAAAGAATATGAAGTCTGTGATGAGACAAGAGAGTACAGTGTGAGAGGATTTTTTCACAGCAGTGTGATTTTTTGAAGAGCACACCTTGGTCTTGCAAATGAGATTAAACTCAAGATTTTGTTAGTTGGAATTGTACAGGAGTTCATGTGTGATTCATGAAACAGAAGGGCACTTGTAAGTAGCCAGCTGCATGAGAGCAAGTAGAATTGCAAAGAGAACTTTGAAAACTATTTTCCACACAGTTATGCATCAGGAAAAATCTGTTGCCTGTGGGAATATTGTGTGCAGTAAGGAAAATGCTGTCTGCTACTGGGTCTGTGGAAGGTAAAGCATAGATGACTGAGGTTTGATCACTTCTAGCAAGTGACCACATTGAAGAAAAATGAAGAGCAGAGGCTTTTTGTGAGAGCTGTTTGGAAAGGTATTAAAAGTGTGCTCTAATCAGTGTATTTACTCTAAGACTTGAGTGGTAAAGTATTCCCAAGAAGTTCCCTAAGGGATACAGGTTAACAGCCTTACTCTGAAATGGATAATAATAAAAGAGGATGCTTAGCTTCAAGTCTTTGCTTACTGAGGCATTGAGGCTATGATCGTTTATCTTAAAGTGAAGGATGCTCTCCAGCCAGTAAGTCTAGTGCATTTAAGTCACTGGTTGAAAGCTCAGAAAACCACCTTGTACTAGACCTGAAAACAAACGGGTGGCCAATATGTGTCACCAACCTTTTGCAACTTCTGGAGTCTCAATTTGAGTCACACCTTACCTCCATCTTATCTTTCCTAATTAGACTGTGAAGACTGATGTGGAATTTGGGTGTACAAAGACATATGTTGAACTAGAAAAGACTAAATCCTAGGAAAAGCTTTCATAGTTACCTGGATAAGCAGTAGTGATCAAACTGGGCAATGGCATACCGAAAACCAACACTGCCCTCTGATAGCAGAACCTCAGAACAAATTGTACGTGGATCTTAGTCACAGGACCTATTACCTTTTTTACTTTTGGTAGCTCTTTCCTTCAATCTCCAGATTTTTGTCTTATCTGAGCAGTGTTTTATCCAACTAGTTCTTAATGCTGTACCTCTGTTTATTTCTAGAGGACTATTATGTGAATTTTCCCTCTCCATCATTTACTCTCACATCCCTTCAGTTTTCTCTCTACAAAGATGTATATTTTGCAACATCTGTCAGTAGACGTATCTGGTGTTTTGCATATAGAGATACACCATTTTTCTGGTTTTCTCCAGCAGTCTCGATTTCAGATGCAGCTAAAAGTATTAAAGGGTAGTCCATGAATCTCAGTTGCTTACATCAAAAGTAATGATAGACAGTAGCATGCATGAGAATTTTTTCATAGGGCTAAAGAGTAGCAGCTAAACAATGGAAGAACAATATTCTGGGAGTCTCTACTATTTTTTTTTTTAGTTCTTTTCATTGTCATTTAGATAGGTGCAACTTCTAAATTTATTCAGTCTTATTTCAATGGCCAGTTAATAATGCTAATTAAAAATTAGAGAAGAATTAGAGTCCTTAAAATTTTCATCTCTAAATTCCAGCTATCTTCAATTTACAAATATTTTGGTTTTATTTTATTACAAACATTAATTAATAGGAATTAAATCTCCCAATTAAACATTCAAAGCTTTAAAACTAACCTCTACCACTAAGCATAGAAAAAACCCCATCCTGTCCTGATTTGATAGATTACTCAACATACTTTACCTAGAATCTGCTCTTTGATAAGAAGTGTTTGTGAAGAATTTGTGACTGAGCTGACAAATCAGTTTGAAAATTTTGCTATTAAAAAAAAAGTCTCACATCAGTTGCTGCCTTCTGTAAACACCACAGAGACTCAGGGCAACAGAGAATAAGCATGCTGAGAGCAAAAGGGAGAAATCAATGAAGGGGTGAGGGGCTAGAAGAGAGAGCACATGGTCCTCAGAGACAGCAAAGTAAGGCAACGAAGGGCATCTTATGGAGAATGGAGTAGTCTGAACATGCTGTGTTGAACACTTTGTGTTACTGTGTCTCTTGGTGGACTTTCAGGGTGCAATACGATTTTTACCAAAAAACAAAGACTATGTGTATGTCTCTCTCTTGGCTATCAGAGCAAATGCAGAAATACTAGGCCTTTATTACTCATCCTTCTAGAAGTTCAGCTACATTCTTTGGAAAATAGAATTCTGTGGTTCTGTCTTTTAATACTCCACAAAGCGTCGTATATTCTTTTTGAAAGAGAAAATACAGAACAATTTCTTTATACAACTACTTAACTGAATGAAAATGAATGAACTAAATATTTGTAGTATTTAATGACATTTTTCATGTGAGATTCAAATGAGTACACAGAAATGCTATCACTATAAACATTTTCTCCAGACTTGTGCACAAACCCTTATTCTATAGCATTTTGTCATAACGTAGGTGTTTTATGTAACATTAACATTCTCTTTAGATGAATATCAGATAAAAATATATCCTCAAAGATTTTTTTATTTGGTAAAATATTTTAAAAAATCTTAAGCCCCCATTCCCAGAAATTGCTTAAACACTTCAGTGTTTTCAATTTTAAACTTGCAGCACTAACTAACTTCCTAGTTAATTTCTCATTATAGGACAAATGCTGCTTGTAATGAAGCTTGCTTGTTTCTTCCTCCATCTTCTGATGTCAAATTACTATAAAGTTAGTTTTATTATATAAGAATATCGAGAGGTTCTATTAAATACCGTGAAATGGTGGGTTAGATGAGCATTCAAAGTAAATCTAAGCATATTGTTGCTTGGATGTATCCTAAATAGTATATCCTTCTTGCAAGGGTTAAAACCGTACATTAAAAAAAAATTAAAATTAAATCCCTTGTGGAAAGAACCTTTGTCATAATTGCAGTCATTTATAGTTAATTAACATAACACTCAAACAATGACATAATCAGATCATACCATTGATTAGAATGAAATTACACAGCAGAAAAAAGAAATTAAAAGTCCAAGCATTAATGTACCTTGTTTTAAAAAACCTCTG